ACACTACCTGTCCCACCACTTCTCTTTGTATCATCTGCATACTTAGCAACAATTCCCTTGGTTCTTTTGTCCAGATCGTTAATTTGTAACTTGAATAATTGTGGTCCCAACACGGACTCTGCGGTACTCCACTTGTCGCCAGCTGTCATCCTGAAAAAGACCCCTTTATCCCTGATCTTTGCCTTCTGCCGGTCAGCCAATCCTCTATCCGTGCTGGTACCTCACCCCTAACACCATGGGTTCCTATCTTATTTAGCTGCCTCCTGTGTGGTACCTTGTCAAAGGCCTTCTGGAAGTCCAAAAAGATCATGCCCACTGACTCTTCATTGTCTGACTTGCTCATTACCTTCTCAAAGAATTCTAACAGATTTGTCAGGCACGACCTCCCCTTGACAAAGCCATGCTAACTTAGCCCTATTTTACCATTCACTTCCAAGTACTCTGCAGTCTCATCCTTAATAATGGACTCCAAAATCTTACCGACAACTAAGGTCAGACTAACCAGTGTATAGTTTCCTGTCTCTGCCTCCCTTCCTTCTTAAATAATGGTGTTACATCAGCCATTTTCCAGTCCTCTGGAACCCTTCCTGACTTCATTGATTCCTGAAAGATCACCAACAATGCCTCCACAATCTACTGAGCTATCTCCTTCAGAACTCGGTTGGAGTACATCTGGTCCAAGTGATTTATCCACCTTCAGACCTTTCAGTTTTTCCAGCACTTCTCCTTAGTGACGGCCACTACTCTGATCCCTGCCCCCTGACTCTCTTGAAGTTCTGTTATGCTGCTAGTGTTGTCCACTGTGAAAATTGATGCAAAGTACCTGTTCAGTTCCTCAGCCATTTCTTTGTTCCCCATTACTACTTCTCGAGTCTTATTTTTCAGCACTCCAATGTCTACTCTTGCCTCTCTTTTACCTTTTATATATCTAAAAAAAGCCTCTTGGAATCTTTTATATTATGAGCTAGCTTACCCTCCCATTTCATCTTCTCCCCCCTCCCCTTACTGATTTTTTTAGTTATCCTCTGCTGGTTTTTAAAGGCTTCCCAATTCTCTGGTTTCCCACTAACCTTCACTATATTGAATGCTTTATCTTCAGCTTTTATGCTGTCCCTGACTTCCCTTGTAGCCACGGTTGCCTCATCTTCCCCTTAGTGTGTTTCTTCTTCCTTGTGATGAATTTCTGCTGTGCCTCTCGAATTACCTCCAGAAACTCCTACCATTGCTGTTCCATTGTCTTCTCTGTTAGGCTCTCCTTTCAAATAATCCCTGGCCGGCTCCTCCCTCATGTCTTTGTAGTTACTTGTACTCAATTGTAATACAGCTGTATCTGATTCTAGTTTCTACTTCTCAAACTGCTGAGTGAATTTAGTCATATTATCATCACTGCCCTTCACCATAAGTTTCCTAATCAAATCTGCCTCAATACACATCACCAAATCCAGAATTGGTCTGTTCCATAGTGGGTTCTATTATGAGCTACTCCAAAAAAAACATTTTGTAGACATTTCACAAATTCCTTTTGTTGAGATCCTCTACCAGCCTGATTTTCCCAGTCCATCTGCATATTGAAACCCTCCAAGATTATTGTAATAATGTCTTTCTTGTGGTTGGTTGGCTCGCCGAGCTGGTTTGTTGTTGTTCCGCAGGCGTTTCATTACCCTGCTGGGTAACATCATCAGTGCAGCCTCCGATGAAGCACCGTTGTGTTTTCCCGCCTGGTTTTTAAAACTCTGGAGTCAGTTGAGCTGAACTTCCAGTTTTCCTTCGCAGTGGAGTGTATATGGGGTTGAGTTCTATGTGTTTGTTGATGGCTTTCTTCGTGGGGTACCAGGCTTCTCCAAACTCCCGTGCCTGTCTCTGCTTTGCTTGTCCCAGGATCTTAGTGTTGTCCCAATCGAATTGGTGGTTCTCCTTATCCATGTGGATAGAGATGAGTGAGTATTGGTCGTGTCTTTTTGTAGCCAGTTGGTGTTTGTGTACCCTTGTTGTTAATTTCCTTCCTGTTTGTCCGATGTAGTGTTTGTCACAGTCTCATTGTCGTATACAAGATTCCCTGCAGAGACTGTGACAAACACTACATCGGACAAACGGGAAGGAAATTAACAACAAGGGTACACAAACACCAATTGGCTACAAAAAGACACAACCAATACTCACTCATCTCTATCCACATGGATAAGGAGAACCACCAATTCGATTGGGACAACACTAAGATCCTGGGACAATCAAAGCAGAGACAGGCACGGGAGTTCCTAGAAGCCTGGTACTCCACGAAAAAAGCCATCAACAAACACACAGAACTCAACCCCATATACACTCCATTGCGAAGGAAAACCGGAAGTGAGGTAATCGAGCTCAACGGACTCCAGAGTTTAAAAACCAGGCGGGAAAACACAACGGTGCTTCATTGGAGGCTGCACTGATGATGTTACCCAGCAGGGTAATGAAACGTCTGTGAACTAATGAACCAGCTCGGCAAGCCAACCAACCACAACACCCACAACCCGAGCTACAAATCTACTCCAAAACCTTAGTGACTTTCTTACTTGGCTTTTCTATCTCCTGATTTATTTTCTTCCCCACATCCTGACTACTGCTAGGAGGCATGTGCACAACTTCCATCAGGGTTTTTACCCTTTGCGGTTTCTGAATTTCTACCTACACAGATTCTACACCTATATCATTTCTTGCTATTAATTTAGTTTCATTTCTTACTAGCAAGGCAGCCCGATCCCTCTGCTCATCTGCCTGTCCCTTTGATAAGATGTGTTTCCTTGGATATTTAGTAATCTAGTGTAGATTTCACCACTCTGAAATATTATTTCATTTTGGCCTTTTCATCACCTGAATTTTAACTGCTTCACCATTTATGGCTGTGACTTGAGCTGTTAAGAACTGAGCTGTAGAATTCACTCTCAAGGCCCCTCCACCTCTCTTTCCTTGTTTGACTCTCCTTAAACCGTAGATCTTTGGCTAAGGGATTAACCATCTGCCTTAGTATCTCCTTATGTCTCTTGATATTAAATGTTGGTTTGTAACACTCCTATGAAGCACCTTGGAATGTTTTATTACATGAAAGGTGCAATAAAAATACACTTTTTTATTGTTTGAATAATGATAGAGCTGTTGTCTCAGTTGGTAGTACGTTGGTCCATACATAACCATGCACTGAACTTCCATCGGAGAGATCTGAGCATGAAATTCAGGTTGACACACCCAATACTCTTCGGAGTGGATGTTGCACCTTCAGAGGTATGTGTTTGGATGAGAATGAGGTCCCTGTCTGCCCTCTTGGGTAGATGTAAACGATTCCATGACACTATGAAGCAAAATCTCTAAACCAGATAATGTGCTGTGCTCATCTTGCTGAGTTTCCTACATTAAAGCAGTGACAGAACTTCTGAAGCAATGAAGGGTCTGGAAATTAGTTTAAGATGTCCTGTATTCATAAAGGTGTTGCCCAGAAGGAAAAACCAGTAAAACTTGTGAATGACTCATGCTGTTAAGACTTGTGTACCTCAAAATGGAGTTCCAGCATGACCAGTATGTTCATTTCTAAGTATTACTGTTTTTATTTTTACTGGTTTTCCCCTCTTGAATGCAAGTTCATTCCTTATTTAAGTTAACTGGATATTCTGGCACTCTGTTTATATAATTTGTTTGACTTTCTTACCCTAAACAAGGTGACTTCTAAATGCCCTCTATCATCTTTACTTCTGCATTATATTGCAAGTGCTCACAGCTTTCCTTTTAATGAATTTGACTAATTTCACAGCTGAAAAATACTGCAGGTGGTGAAATATTGAGACAAAAGCAAAATGATGGTTACACATAAATCAGTTAACACCTGTAGATAACAGAATAGTTAATGCCGACGGTCCACCCTCAAAGCACTACTTCTCCCTGCAGTTGGTTTCTTGATTGCTTTAGCAGTCTTTTTGTTTCCAAATTCTAACCTCCCACACTGTGACCTGTTCTTGTATTTTATCTTTTACTGTTCTTGGGAATCAAAGATCTTTGCACTATAGTAGGTATAGATGTTCTCCCATCGTCCAGATAAACTAAGGAACTAGTTAAATACCATCCTTGGGATAACAGCATTTTAAGTTATTGGAGAGGGGGTGGGGGGAAGGTGTTGGGGGACTAGAGAAGGGGGGAGAGAGAGAGAGAGAAGGAAAGAGAGAGAAAGGGGAAGGGAGAGAAGTGTAGTGGTGTACTCGCTGTATTGCGTAGGAAATGGTGATGGGGTTGTTTTGAATAGGAAATATGCAAATCAGTTTGTATGTGAAGAGATCTGATAGGTGGGGATTTGAGGGTGGGGACATGAGATGGGCGATGTGGTTTTGATCCCTGGGAAATCATTTACTTGGTGGGGTGGAGGGAGGGAGGGGGGTGGTGTGTATCCGTTGGCCTATGAAGCAATACTATAACTTACCTTCTCCCAAAGCTGTCCTTCAGCTACTGGCTTTCCTGTGGCCTGGTCCATTGCTCCTAACCTCCGTTATAATATTTAAACAGACAATTCATGTCCTGTCTCACCCATTTTAAACTTGAATGTTGACTGCTTTAGAACTGGATTTGAGGTTTTTATAAAATGTAACACCTCATCTGACTCACTGTACCCATTCTGTGGGTGATTTTATGTCCTAAACTATATTACAACACACTTCAATTGGGCAGAAAATATCTGACCTTATCTATTCTCCTGTATTTTTCAAAAATTTTTTTAGACACACTTACAACTGTTGCGGAAACAGAGAATCAACAGCAAATGTTATATATTGTAAATATGTTATTACATGCTTATTCAAGTTTCAACACATTGGTTTCTGTTAAATCATGCAAATTGAGTACACTCTGGGCCTGTTTCAGATATTAAGTTTTAAAATGCGGATCAGAATCATAATTTGTTAACTCATCGAGAAATTAAAATGTGGTCTTGTGAACTTTATAGTTGGTTGCTGAATACAAGTCATTTTTTTGATTTGAATCAACAGGAGCTTTCCTACCAGAGGTCTTAGCAAAACGGCGTTTGTGACCATGGCAACAGGCAGCAGTGATGGACCACGATGTTCATCAGGCCCAAAGCCAAAGCAGCATACCAACCGATTGATCCACGAGAAGTCTCCCTATCTTTTGCAGCATGCAAACAATCCTGTAGACTGGTAATCACCTAGCCCTTTATAAGATTAGGGAATTGAAAATTTGATCTGAATGCCAGGCTGTTTATTCTGTAATAATCATCTATTTGAGATTATTGTGCGTATTAGGATAGAGGGGCTGACTGGCTTGCTCTGTTGTGTCTATGAATCCAAACGCTTTCTATTCACTTTCTTTGAATAAATTTGTTGTCAATGGATCTAACTCTTCCCCATTCTTGAAAGCAGGTTACTGGTTACCACCGTCCATACCAGTGACGCAAACTGTCAGATGAGCAACAGAAATTGAAAGACAAATAGGAAATCCAGAGAAAAGCATATTCAGCTCATCAAGAAGATTGGGATACCCAAGTTCCTTCTCAACTTTCCAGTGCAAAAAAGTCACACCCTGTTGTTAATATCTCTGCAATTGTCATTGAAAAAGCATGTACCCACATAGCAGAGAAAAGACATGGTAGGCAATTCATTCCAAATAGTTTATCCCACATCGTTTACTTTGTTCAAACAGATCATTACAGTCAAATGATGACAGCTCACTGCCAATGTTCAAGGGCACTTATGCATAGGCAGTTAATAATGGACAAGCTAGTGATGCTCTCCCAATGAAGAAATAAGATAAACTTGGATGTGAAATATTACAATGAGAATGGAGTTGAGGATTTTCAGATCAGCCATTTTCTCAGCAGAGCTGACTCGATGAACCAAATGGCCTACTTCTGCTCCTACATCTTATGGCCTGATCTCTAGTCTGGGCCCTCAGTAAGTTGTAGCACCATAGTTGCTGCGGTGTGGCTCTCAACTGGAATTTCTTGTTCTGTCATGCCGTAATACGTTGAACGACTTACTGAGCCAACAAGAGAAACTTCTGTCTCATTTTTTATATCCTTTTCCCTTCACTACCACTTTCATTTCCTAAAACCGTTTTTTAAACTTTTTTAAACTGAGATCAAATTGAAATAGGAGCAAAGTAATTACTGGATAAAGAAACCAAGGTTCACCTGTTTTGCTTTCTATTAATCTGATAGTTGCATGATACAGAATTGTTGATTAGCATTGTTCACTAATTGTAGTAATTAGTCCACAAAATGTTGAGTCATGATAGGAACATCCTAGTGTCTTATAGCTTCAGGAGCATGGATCTAAGATCTGTTTCTTCTGAAGATGCGGCACTCACCACATTTCATGCCTCGAATTACTTTTTTACACTATCCCAAAATATTTTTTTCACAATTTTATAATTACTGTGTTTTAATTATCTAGGTATCCATGGGGCGAAGAGGCATTTGCCAAAGCAAAGAAAGAAGACAAGCCAATCTTTCTGTCAGGTACAATGTGGGTCAAGTTAATTTGGATATCCTTTGTTTCCTAATGTTATCTCTAGTCTCTTCCCTACTGTGTATTAATCCTGAAGATGTTAGAATGCCAGAGCTGTAAGCATTCTTCTAAGGTTGCCATAACTCTGGGACTGTCTGTACATCTCCCAAATTTGAGGATGGATCACTTGACTGCTGCATTGAGCGTTCTGTGAGGAAAAGAACTGAGGAGTCAGTGGAGGCTGCCTTGCACAATTATTATAGCCATGTTCGATTGGATTTTAGTTTGTCATCTCCTTTACTGGTGTCTTTGGTCAGAGACAGGAGATGAGAGACAAAAGTTGAGCTGGATGCTTCCGTTACACTTTGTCAACATATTTATAAGGAGACATTTATTTTATGATTTCCAGGATGAAATTTAGAGTTGCAGGCATTCAAAAGTTTTTAAACTCCAAGGGTGGCTTGGGGGCTTTTACCATTTAATTTCAGAATGATGTATCGGTTCTGAGAGCTGGCTTATTTATTGAGCTAAAGTTATAATGATGCAAACAGGAAGAACTAAATATTAAAAACAAAATCCCCAGTTCTGCATCTCCTTTTTTTATTAAATTGCAAATTTGACAGAAATTACAGGATTGCTCAAGAGGGAACAAGTAGATCAGCAGAAAGCCAAACCGGTGCTAAAGAAAACATGTGTTTCTTCGTCGAACTGGTGGAAAATCTTAAATTTGATTTTATTCCCTGCATTTACTGACACTTAATATTTTCTGAAACATCATAAATATTAATTTCCTTAAAAAATTGATAACTGACACTGGATTCCACTGTAGTCCGCGTTGCTGTTAATGCTTAAGATGTAGAGATTGAATGGAGCGTAGAATACCATTGGAATTGTGGGGTTATGGTGTACAGTACAGACTTCTGTGTGTTGTGTCTAATAATTCATGTGTAGTTATGTTTTTGCACTGAAGGCTTTCTCTTGGTTATAGCAGTTGATGGAGTGAAAGCTTTACGTACACTTTACTGAGATTGTACTTGTTAAAAGTTTTAAGTTCTAATTTATCCAGTGCCAAGGCAGATCATTCTTGAGGTTTGTGTCCTGTTTTGTGATTGCCCACTCTCGGACAGGCAGCCACTGAGCTCTCAGAACTTCCTGCATAACTTGCCAAACCATGAGGAAGGCGGTCAGCTACGGGACACCCAGCCTTTGATGACTGTTATATCATGCTTAATCCCATCTCATCAACAGGAACCATGCAATCAAACCTCTTGGAATATATTTGGCAAATCTAGTTTTGAAAGGCTCCTGTTTCTAACTGGCAGAAATCATAGGAAAACACTGTCAGTAGCTGAGGGCTGGGGGTTTGGCTTGTCTCTTTATTTTTATTTATTTGTGGAATGTGGGCGTTGCTGGCTGGGCCAGCATTTCTTGCCCATCCCTAGTTGCCCTTGAGAAGGTGGTCGTGAGCTGCCTTCTTGAAACGCTGCAGTCCTCCTTCAGTAGATAGACCCACAATGCTATTATGGAGGGAATTCTAGGATTTTGACCCAGCGACAGTGAAGGAAAGGCGATATATTTCCAGGTCAGGATGGTGAGTGGCTTGGAGGGGAACTTGGAGGTGATGGTTGAAGAGACAGGTAAGAGAGCCGGAATCTCTGCTCTACCATTGGAATTTCAGGGCCACTAACTTCTATTGAGTTCATTTTTAATGTTGAGAAAGTGTTGAGAAGGACAAGGCCCAAATTGCAGATGCTACCAAGATTGACAGCAATTTGGAAGGAAATCTGGTCACTCAAAAGTCATGCAAAGGAAATACGAAAAGCCTTTCACCTTTCTTGCATGTAGGATGTCTCCTACTGTTTCAGCCTATGAAGTACTTCTGAAGTGTAGTCTCTGTTTTAATGTCACATTATACAGCAGCCATTTGTGCACAACAAGCTTCCACAGACTTTCGTAAAACAATAACTATATAACATTTTAATAATGTGGTTGAGGGATAAATATTGGCTATAATACCTGAGACACATTCCCAGCTTTTCTGCAAAATCGTGCAATGAGATCTTCTAAACCAACTTGAAAAGAATGGAAAGGCCTTGGCTTAACATCTCATCTGAAGGATGAATCTCTGACAGAGCAGTACCCCCTCAGTGATGCACTAGAAGGTCAGCTTTTATTTTGTAATGTCTGTGGACTGCAGCTTAAAAGCCCAATTTCTGACCCAGGCCATGCATTGAACTACTGCTGACACCATTTACTTATAAAATCCAGTGGGTTGGAGGAAGATAGGAATCTGCAGGGAGTTGATGTGTCACATGTTTCCAAAATCCAACAACGAATGAAAGTCGAAGTTTGGCTGGTGATTGTTAATTTTAACAAGTGAGTGTGTAAATGTCATATTTGCAGTTTAGGATTGGAAACCCAGAGAATTACTGACCACAGTAGTATTAATAATAATAATAATAAAGGACTTAGCTTACACGGGAGAAAGAAAGAGTGATGGAGGGTATGAGGGCAACTGGAGATTTTCTGTCAGTCAATTTGTTAAATCAGTCTTCTTAAGTATGGTGGCACCATTTGGACTTGCATGAAGTGAGGCTTTATGTAGTTGTTGAAGGAAAAGCAAGTGGTTTGGCAAACAAAATCAAGAAACTGGGCTTCTTGCAGGTGTCTGTGATGATGGAGCAAAAAATGAAACTGAGGACATTAAGTGGTGGAGGTAAAGGATACTATCAGGTGTCACTGGAGATTGTGAGAGAAATGAAAAAGCCTCCATGGTATGTTTGAAAGAAATCAGATCCTCATTGTCCCATTGACGTGAATGGAACAAATTAAGAGAAGCCGATTCAGCCATTCAAGAGAGAGTTTATGAATGTAGAATGGAATCATGCTTAAAACCGTGGAGAGCATTGGAAGTTAAGTGAAAACGTAATAGAGTGAGAATGAGGAGATAGTCTTGAAGTACTCTTCTATCGATGAAATAACTATCAAAGATGAGTATTGTCTCAAGGAGCTTTCGGATGAGAACATATCCATGATGAAATCCCACTGCCATACTGATGAGATTGGCAACCTCAGAAAAGATGTGAGGCTGAAACATGGTCTTTTCCTCACCTGTGCTGTTGAATTATTCATTGGATAAACCAATGGGGGCCACTTGATTTAATTTAAAACTATACTTCTGGGTTGTTTCCTATTGTTATTATTTTTTCATCTCATGGCTTTTTTATTTTATTAAATACTGTCTTTTTCCATTTAACTCCTCTAATCCCCACCCTATGTTATGATTGCTTTCATCTTGTTGTGGAAAGTATTGGAGCTATGGTTGTAACTCTTTGACTTCACTGTGGCAGGTTTTGTTTCAAACCAAATTGGGAAATAGGGATGTACTACCCTCTCATCAAAAGGGTGAGAAGCTTTGTCTGCCTTTCCTATCAGTAGATAGAAGAAAACAGTGTGGTCTTAGGACCCTGCTTTCCTCCACCGCTAGATTTCTCCTTCAGTCTCAGTGAGGAAGCACTGTGTGCGCGTCCAGTTCATTTTTCTTCTGTTTTTGTCTTGTTCAGTTGGTTACTCCACATGTCACTGGTGCCATGTTATGGAACGGGAATCATTTGAAAATGAAGAGATTGGCAAAATCATGAATGAGAATTTTGTTTGCATCAAGGTTGACCGAGAGGAACGACCAGATGTTGATAAAGTTTATATGACATTTGTCCAGGTGAGCTTGTTGTTTAATAAAATCACTTGAGTTTTCCCTGCCTTACATTTCATCAAGTTTCCAATGTTTGGGCATCGTTTAGTTGATTGTATTAGATGACTGAGCATCAGTAGACAAATAGTGAATAATATGAAATGCCTTGCTTCAGTGTCCCAAACACAAAACAGCTTTTTAATTAACATTTAACATGTTTTACTCTTTAACTCAGACACTGGGAAGTCAGCCAGCAGGCCATTTGAGTGAAGGCTACCTTGGGATCTTGTGTGTCCATTTAACAGGCAGGGAATAGCCAGAGTTTAATGTCTCCTCTGGAAGATGGCACCTTTGGCAGCCCCACTTCAATACTGCACTGAGCACCAGCATCCATATGTTCACGAGTCCTGAACCCATGTGCTCTGCTTTTTGCTACGGTAGCTACAGTGACTTCCCATGACCACATTTGTTTTCTTTTTAACGTCCTGACGGAAAGGCTCTTCCAATCTTGCATTGGAGTATCAGCCTAGATTTTATGCTCATCTATGGAATGAAACTTGTATCTGTTACCTGCTGATTCAAAAGTAAGAGTGCTACCCTCTGAGCCACAGCTGATGTGGTGAGTGACAAGGGAGTGGCAGAAGACTGGTTGTTTGCCCATGTGATGCCAAAATTGAAAGCAGTGTTGAAAAGCAAACACAATGCTGTAATACGATCCTCGTTTTTCAAGGACCGCAACTTCCCCTCCACGGTGGTCTAAAACGCCCTTGACTGCATCTCTCGCATTTCCTGCAACTCATCCCTCACACCCCCTCCCCGCAATAACAACAAAAACAGAATCCCCCTCGTCCTCACGTACCACGCCACCAACCTCCGGATCCAATGCATCATCCTCCGTCACTTCCGCCACCTGCAATCTGACCCCACGACCAAAGACATTTTTCCCTCCCCACCCTTATCTGCTTTCCAGAGGGACCACTCTCTCCGTGACTCCCTTGTCTGCCCCACACTCCCCACCACCCCCGGCACTTTTCCTTGCAATCGCAGGAAGGGCTACACCTGCCCCTACACCTCCCCCGTCGCCCCCATCCCAGGCCCCAAGAAAACCTTCCACATCAAGCAGATGTTCACCTGCACATCTGCTAATGTGGTATACTGTATCCGCTGTTCCCGATGTGGCCTCCTGTACGTCGGGGAAACCAAGCGGAGGCTTGGAGACTGCTTTGTAGAACACCTATGCTTGGTTCGTGACAAACGACTTCACCTCCCAGTCGCGAACCACTTCAGCTCCCCCTCCCACTGCTTGGACGACATGTCCATCCTAGGCCTCCTCCAGTGCCACAATGATGCCACCCGAAGGTTGCAGGAACAGCACCTCATATTTTGCTTGGGAACCCTGCAGCCCAATGGTATCAGTGTGGACTTCACAAGTTTCAAAATCTCCCCTCCCCCAACCGCATCCCAAAATCAGCCCAGCTTGTCCCTGCCTCCCTAACCTGTCCATCCTTTCTCCGACCTATCCACTCCTCCCACCTCAACCCCAACCCCCACCGCCACCCCCACCTCCTACCTACCAGCCTCATCCCCGCCTCTTTGACCTGTCTGTCTTCCCTGGACTGACCAACCCCCACCCTAACTCCCCACCTACACTTACCTTTACTGGCTCCAACCCGCCTCCTTGACCTGTCCATCTCCTCTCCACCTATTTGCTCCTTTATCCATCTTCCATCCTCCTCCCCCTCTCTCTCTCTTTATTTCAGAATCCCCTTCCCCTCCCCCATTTCTGAAGAAGGGTCCAGACCTGAAACGTCAGCTTTCCTGCTCCTCTGATGCTGCTTAGCCTGCTGTGTTCATCCAGCTCTACACCTTGTTATCTCACAACGGTGTAATGTCCCTTTTATGTTGTTCTTCACCTATCAGATCCCATTGTGTAGTTCTCACACAAACCCGTGGCTACAACCTACCAAATTACAGCCAGCCTATTTTTCACTAGGTCAGCCTGGCTTGTGTCAAGTTTACTTGCATTTTATGAGCCATCAGCTGCCACTTATGACAACTGTTTAGAGGCTCTGATCATCAATGACTGCCCAAAGCTTTGTACCATCTCCAAGATACAGGTCAAGAATGGGATGGAATATTCTCCAATTGCCTCAATGGGTACATCTCCAATAACACTTGAAGCTTGACACCATTCAAAACAAAGCAGCAAGTGTTGCTGCTGTTACTGTTGACTGTCAATGCTGTCTCAGTGATCACATTCATCTCTGAAACAAAGGTTCAAGTCCCAGTCCAGAGTTTTTAATGCAGAATTTAAGACTAGGGTTTTCCTGGTGTCCTGGTTGATATTTGTCCCTCAAAAGTTTGATTATCTGGTAACTTCATTGCCGTTGTGGGAGTTGGTGTGTACAAAATTAACCTCTGTATACCATACACTACTACAATGGCTACCCTTTAAGTGGGCTGTAATGTTATTTTCAATCTCCTGAGATCATACTGTATACTTCCAAATCTTTGCTTTTTTTCTATTCACATCTCTTCTGCAAGTGGTCTTGACAGTCTTTAAAACAAAGTGGAATTTGGATGAGCAGAAATCTTCTTTGGTTTCTAAGCAGAGCAACTGTTTCCCTGGAGGTGTAACAATTCCTGTTTCTTCCCTTTCGGCTGCAGGCAACAAGTGGTGGGGGTGGCTGGCCAATGAGTGTCTGGCTGACCCCTGACCTCAAACCTTTTGTTGGAGGGACTTACTTCCCACCTGAAGATGGATTCCACCGCTTGGGGTTTAAGACAGTGTTGAAGAACCTGGCTGGGCAGGTATGGTATACATTGCTTTTGGATAGTGTGTAGAATAGGCTGGTCTTACAACTTTTCAATCCTTGCACATGTGAAGGGTATGGAGAGAAAGCAGGAGTGGGATACTGAAATTGCATGATCCGCCATGATTGTATGGAATGGTGGTGCAGGCTCGAAGGGCCAAACGGCCTATTCCTGCACACGTTTTCTATGTTTCTAAGTTGTGGAGACATATGTGGAGTTGAGGTATAAATCAACAATAATCTAAAGTTCCCGTGCTCTTCTGTCCTGCCAAAGACATATAATGTTAGATAAGTAAACAGCAGTTGCTCTCTTTGTTCAAGGGGCAGGTAGGAAAACTTTGCATAACTTTGCCTCAGTAGTTTGCAAGTGTATTTTAGAGGTAATTGGACAGATGGGATGTAGCTGCTGAATCAAATTGAGGCAACTAAGTTAAGGATGGAGATGGAACAAGAAAAAAACGTAACTTATGAAAAATCCTGTTTATTTCATATCCACTATTGCAAAAAAAAGTTTAATTTTGATGTAACATTGCTGAAACTCATGTGGGATACCAACATTAACCAATTGCCAGCAGGAGGTGTATTTTCTTAGCTAGTGTTTAAACCCTGTGTTTCAGAAGTTAGGCTTTGTTTAATCCCTAGCACAGAGATGTATTGGGGCATTAGAGAGCTTTAATGAAATTCATGATTTGTTCATGCTCTCAAACATTTGCTTTAGTGGAAGAGAAACAGGAAGGACCTAACTGAACGCAGCGATAAGATCCTGACAGCCCTGCAGAAGGGGGTAGAAGTGAGTGCCAACAAAGAGGCAGTGCCCCCGCCATGTGCCCGGGTGATGGAGAGGTGCTTCGAGCAGCTGGCTCATTCCTACGAAGATGAATATGGAGGGTTTTGCGAATCTCCGAAGTTCCCTTCACCGGGTGAGGAAATATAAATTTATTTAAAAATGTGTATACTGCCTTTGAATGGTCACAGAAACAGCAACTTGTATTTATATAGCATCCTTAATGTAACAAAATATTTCAAGGCTCTTCACAGGAGCATAATCAGGCAAAAACGTGTGATACTGTACCAAAGGAGGAGAAATTAGGACAACTGATGAAAAACTTAGACAAAGAGATTGATTTTACGGATGGTTGTATTGGAGAAAAGGGTAAGAGAGAGAAATGGATCAGCCTAATGTGTTAGGGTTTAGATGGCTTGAATGTATGGCTGTCAGTGGTGGAGCAAAGGAAGTATCAGGTGTACAAAAGACTAGAGTTTGAGGAATGTGGCGTTCTTTGGTGTTTGGAGAACTGGAGCAGAGTGCAAAGTTAGTGAAGGGTAGTAAGATAATGCAAAGTCCGAACATAAACATACAAATTGGAAACAAATTAAGCCATTTGGCCCACACTACACCATTCAATAAGACCCTGGTTGATCAATTTGTGTTTCCAATTCCCATCTAACAAAAATCCATCTACTCAACCTTAAAAATCCAGTGACCCTGCTACCACTGCCTTCTCAGACTGTGAGTGCCTAAGTCATGCAATCGATGGGGTGTCTTTGGCAGGCTGCTAACTCAGGCTAGAGTCCTCTCCCTCGAGGTCAAACGCAAATGATTTAGACTCCTAGAAATGTATGTTTTGAGCACTTCAACAAGCTCAGACTTGAGTTCTGTGACAGGCACGGGCATTTCCAGTGCTAATGGTCCATCTTGGTGGGATGGTTGGAGAATTATTAAGCTAAACGTGTAGCTTTACCTCCCCGTTAGAGTTTCTGACAGCTCTTATAGACTTTTCAAATAAAACTGACACAAACAGCTCATCTGAATCCTATGCCTTCAACAGCTCTGCACCAAAGAAAACATCAAGACCCAATATGGTAAAATTAGTCTTGATGCTTTTATAGTCACATCACCACTTGCAACAGTAACTCTAATAATGGAGGTAAAGTTACACTGCTGTTCTTTGTATTCTGTCCAGTCATTTGACCTACAGCTCATCCATGTGTAATTATGTGTTAACTTGACATTCTGGGTCCACCCTTTAGAATTTTCCTTTAATTTGGGAATATACTTTGTCTGAGTATTTTGAAATGCCCTCTTAAATGTCATCATCTGCTTCTCTACTAACCTGTCCCCTAGCATAGTACCCCAGTTCACTTTAGCTTGCTCAGCTTTCATGTCCATGATTGTCCTCATTTAAGGTTAAAATACGAGTCTTAAACCCACTGTTCTCCTTTTCAAACTGAATGTAATATATGTGAGGGTTGGTTAGCTCAGTTGGCTGGTCAGCTGGTTTGGATGCGGAGTAATGCTAACAGCATAGGTTTGATTCCTGCACTGGCTGAGGGTCCCATGAAGGACTGTCCTTTTCAACCTCTCCCCTCACCTGAGACACTTTGAGCCTCAGGTTAAACCACCACCTGTCCCCCCCTTTCTCTATTGAAATAACACCCCAATGGTTTGGTAGGATTGTGGAAGGGGCCACTGTTACTTTAACTCTGAGGACATTTGTTAACCCTGTCACATGACAGCATTACAAGTCTCGTATAACCTGCTGTCTGGTTAGTTCTAGAAAGTTGGAGAGCAGCACAATCTCAAAAGCATCTAATAAACTGGTCAGAGATAACAAGGCATTGAGCTGGATGAACACAGCAGGCCGAGCAGGAAGGCTGACGTTTCGGGCCTAGACCCTTCTTCAGAATCTTCAGACCCTTGTTATCTCAGATTCTCCAGCATCTGCTGTTCCTACTATCTCTCTAATAAACTCGTCATCCTGGTTATTACCGTTGGGTATTATAATCCCCTTAGAGACTAATAACTTTTAAACAGATGTAACTTTCCCATATGACCAATGGAAATAAACTGGCAGACAAGATTTCTCTTTTGAACTTTCACTACAACAGACAAACTCAAATCAACGTGGATCAAATGTTAATTAATTAGAATTAATCCCAAAGAGAAAGATAAGTTTCGCATTCACTAACAACTGAAATAATTCTTACAAAACACTTTTTACTCAATGTCGTATTTGTGCTGAATATATAGCATTACAGTCTGTGATGAAGAGCCATCTAGACTCAACATTAGCTTTCTCTCTCTCTCTCCACAGATGCTGTTTGACCCACTGTGATTTCCAGTATTTTTTGTTTTCAGTTCACTTCAGCAATGTCAGGCTAGGTTGAAACTTCCAGCGCCCTTTGAGAATTGTTCCACTCAGTGCACTTTCACAATTAAATTTACCACTGCTAAGAAAACCCTTGTCAATTCTTTGTTCCTCAAATCTTCAAGAGTTCCATCTGTTCCGTTCTTTCTTTTGAACAAATGAAACTCTTCATGCGTAACCTGTTTGATTGTTAACACAAAACCATTCCCCCTGCATTTCCACAGCAGTTGCTTCTTTGTCTTGGTATCTCAAATAGCAGCTGTCCCTTTGTGGTGAGATCCCCTGAAAAGGTGTTAAAAGTACCACCCTACTTTAGTGGGTTTCTGTTCAAGCTGATGTTTCCGTGGCAACCGGCTTACGTGGGCACTTCTCCAAACTGAGGTATTTAAAGGCATTCCAGTTATACCCTTCTGTTTCACCTGGGGTTTTAAACATAACCATCTCATAAAATGCACTGTTCATGACTAGGAAAGTAAGTTGCTTGGAATGTAGTGAGAGTGAGTGAAAGAAGTAGCAGATGCAGCTCAAGGATAAGATGAGCTTGGAAAGGTGAGAGATGGAGGAGAAACCAGAAAGGCAAGGTTTGGGGCTTGAATGAGGCACAGTGGATGCTGGGATAGCAGCGGAATAGATCACAATCTTGATGCTGTAGAAATTTGCAAGCTCCTTGTTTATTTGAAATAGGTTGACAAGGGTAGACAAGGACAATTTAAAGAAGAACAGTAATAGAGAGAAGGGGCTTTGGAATACAACTACCATAAAGTTTTGACAGCTATTTTACTTTGCCTGTGCTCCCTCTATTCTCCTGTCTGTATGACCATCACTTGCATATGCTCTGTCACCTCTTCTGGCTCTTCATCTCACGCTACACCTGATTCAGAATCCTTATCCTCCTCTGTAAATCTCCACCAATGGCCTTTCCCTACTTTGCATCTGCCATTTTCTCCAGTTTTGGATCTCAGCCTGCACTCACTGGGTTACCAAGGCTTGCTGACTGGACTTCCAACGCTCAGCACTTCTGTCTTTGTGAAAGACCTTATTGCCATTTGAAACTCACTAAAGCCTCCCTTGCCGCAACACACTGTTTCCCACATCACCTTCAAAAGCTTCACCACTTCTCTGCTGTTGTCTGTGCTGTGCATTGTTAGCCATGGGTGAACAGAACTTGGTGCAAGTTAAGCTATGACCCCTATGCTTGCTCAAAGTCAGAAATCACATGACATCAGGTTATAGTCCAACAGGTTTATTTGAAAATTTTGAATAAACCTGTTGGACTATAACCTGGTGTTGTGTGATTTCTGACCTTGTCCACCCCAGTCCAACACCAGCACCTCCAGGTTATGCTTGCTCATTAATTCCCAGTATGCCAATGTCTCACATTTAAAACGCTCAGCCCTGTTTTCAAATTCCACCATAGCCTTTCCCCTCCCTACCTCTGTATCCTCCTCCAGTCCTACTAACCTCTGAGATCTCTGTGCTCCTCTAATTATAAAAACTTGATCATCTTTGATATTAGTTGCTTATAGCTTGTTGTTAGAAGCCAGTTGCAGTTAGCTGTCTAATTCCTAACGTTTGGAACTCATTACCTCATTCTCAGCCTTTATACCTGTCTCCTTGCCTTTAAGACACTCCCTAAAAACATTTCCTTTCACCAAACCTACACTTGTGGTGTTCAAGGTCAAATTTTATTTGGTTATCCTCCTGTAAGATGCAGTGGGAAATTTTACTTTATTGAAGGTGCTGTATAAATTCAAGCTGTTGCTGAATGTTTTATTTCACAAAAGAGACCGAACATTGTAAGTTTTGTCAATTATTTCAATCTTAAAACCAATGATTTATGTAAGGGTAGAATGTAAAGCTGCATCATATCTAGAGTCCATGTATAATTGTGAATGTTCTTTGCCTTACTGCACTTCAGGACAGATTATATTTCACCCTAGCTGCTGCCTTATATATGATTTTTTTTGCCACATACATGTTGCACGCTTTCTGCTCAGCAGCAGTCAGGGCCATGAATAACTGCTGTTTTCTTTGAATTTGTTTCTTTCTAATTGATGTTATTTCTATTCAAACTCATTTGACTGTGAGTAAAATCTGAGCCCTTTGGACATAAAATGTGGTACAGAAACTTACAATTGCATCAGGTGAACATGGCTGAAAACGAGATCTGAATAGCCCAGTTCTGTAAAGGAGTATTTGCTTAATCCTTAGCATCACTTTGTGAGCAAGGGTACCAAGGCTTTTGTTTTTGAAAAAATGAGTGAATGCCATGTCTGTTTAACACCAAACTGTTTAACACCATTTTACATTATTTGTATTCATTCCACCATCAAGCACTACTGGGGATGCCAGACTGGAGTGGTTCAGAAGCAGTGATGTCTTACTCCAGTTATACAGGGCCTCGGTGAAGCTACACTTGGAGTATTGCATGCTGTTTTGGTCTCCCTATCTAAGACTGCTGTGGAACCCAAAACCTATTCAAGAACGGGACAGAATTCTAGATTTTAAAAACACCAAAAGCTCTCAGAAGAAAGCAGGAATATGGCATTGAGATAGAGGATCAGCTACGATCATATTAACTGGTGGATCAGAGAAGGGCTAAGTGGTCTACTCGTGCACCTAGTTTTAATATTTCTAAGTAACTGGACTTAGCTCATTGTTGTTGCCGCAATTTCCCTATTTGCGGTGATGTGCTTGCTTTCTCTGAAGATGCTGAATCATGCTGGGTATAGTGTCAAAAACACTGACTCCACTCTGGTGTACACCACCAATAAGGCCATCCTTTGAAATCCTGGTCATTGAACGTCAGTGAGATCTTCATTAGCAGGGGTCTTGGCATTAAACCACATCACCATCCCTGCCAGGCACATATGCTTTCATTTTTCGCTGGTGATTACAGGGTGATTTCCTTTCTCCTTTCTATCCTACCTTCCCTGACCTTGAGGCAAAATGGTTAAGGTTAAGACGAACTAATTCTGCACAAGGATCGATTTTTAAAACAAAAACATAAAGGCATATTTCTCAGCATGTGTCGCACACTGAGTGACTATTGGTAAGTAGCCAAAAGCAGCATCAATTTGCATGTGATAAGATCTTATAACCGTAAGTCAGGCAGTTTGCCAATTGATGGTATTGTTGGCTGAGATGGAATATTGGCCTAGACGCTGAGAGAATCCCCTGCTTTTGTTCAGATAGTGGACGTGAACTACCAGATCAGACAATTAGTCTGTGACTGCCTTAGTTACTACTGATGTGTTGGTGAAGGATTAACTTGCTTCATACACCAAATCTGTCATTTTCCATGGGATACTACTTGTAGGAGATTTCAGTTGCGTTAAGTGTTGTCTCCACACATGAACTCCTTATAATTTGTCCAAATGCGGTGCTAACTTTTCAAGATGTATCTGATTTAACAATCTGTAGTTCTGTTCCTTTTAGCTGAAGTGATAGTAGCAGAGGATACATGTCTGCCACTGCTTTGGCTTTCCTGAAAAATACATGGTGGGGATGTTTTAATTTGTAAGTGCTGGCCAAGACTGTCATTACGTTTGATGCAATTAGCAGAGGGGATGAGATTAATTAAGCAGGTGGGTGACAGGATTTGGGTTTTAGACACCTGAAGATTGAAAGGAAAGTAGGTGAGGGATTCCACAGTTTTTGAGAGCTTTGAAAGCAACACTCCGATGTCGAGGAACGTGCAGTAAGTTTTGATTTCAAAATCGGGAAGAGGCAGGTGTATATGGAAGGGCAAGTGCAACAAATGAGGAAGGCCTATGTGAAGGGTAGAAGCAGCAGACAGAATTGTCCATATTTAGCAGAAAATAGAAGAGTGAGAGAGACAGGTCTTCAATAGAGAAAGATACAGTCACAGAGTCATACAACATGGATCAGACGCTTCAGTCCAACTTGTCCTAAGCCGATGAGTTTCCTAAACTGGACTAGTCCTGTTTGCCTGCATTTGGCCCATATCCCTCTAAACCTTTCCTATCCATGTACGTGTCCAAATGTCTTTTATAGAGTCTGATTTTGGAGGATAAGCTGAAAGAGAGTGTTACTTACTAAATGGTAAAATCTAATTCTCTGGGGAATACCAAATCTCTGTAGATTGGATAGATCTCATACATCTCTCTGTTATGGCGGACTGGAACAGTGGTGAGTTGATTGTCTGTCTCTGTCTCTGGTTTTCACAAAGTAATATATTGCTTTTACCCTAACAGTTAACTTCAATTTTCTATTCCGTTTCTGGGCTTTGAACAAGAGTGAAGAGAAAGGAGCCCAGGCGCTGCAGATGGCTTTACACACTCTGAAAATGATGGCTCTTGGAGGAATACATGATCACATTGGGCAGGTAGGAGAGCCCATTGTGGTGTGAAGACAACTTTCTGAACGAGGTTGTGGAGGAGAATAATTGTGGGTTTAAGGCAGTAGTGACTTGGTTAGGCTGAGTAATAGCCATATGTTTGCTTTGAAAGGCAGACTTGCATTTGTACTTGTACAACAGCAAAGTGTCATCAACAATTGTATAAAATGGCACTTGCACAGCAAAGACGTCACTGACGCTCATTTTGAGTTTAATCAGGACCACTTGTTGCTGATCTCGTTGCATTGCAAAACATGGACAAAAGTGCTGAACTCAAGACAGTAGTCAAGAATGACAGCTGTTGACATCAGTGACATTAGGGAACCCCAGGAAAGCTGAAGTCAGTGAGAATTGGAAGGGGGGTATTTTGACTGGTTGGAGTCATAACTAGCACAAAGGAACATGGTTGTCATTATTGGAGATCAGTCTCCTCAGCTCTCGCGCAGTTCTGCAGGAGTTTTTCAGGGTAGTGATTATAGGTCCTACCATCTTCAGTGCTTCATCAATAACCTTCCATCGCTCATAAGGTCAGAAGTGGGAATCCCACTGATGATTGCAGTATGTTCTTTACTATTTGAGACTTCACTGATACTGAAGTAATCTGTGTCCACATTCAGCAGAACATGGGCAACATTCAGGCTTGGGATGTTAAATAATATTCACGGCCCTGAAATGGCAGGCAGATACCATCTATGATGAGAGAGAATCTAACAATTGCTCCTTGACGCCAATGATGTTACTGTTGCTGAATCTGCATCGTAGGGGGTTATCATTGAGCAGAAATTGAACTGGACGAGCCATATATAGCATAGGAATTCTGTAGTGAGTAACTGCCTTTTGTCTCCCTAAAGCCTGCTCACCATCATGAGGCACAAGTCAGGAATGTGATGGAATACATACTACTTATTTGGATTATTGCAGCTCCAACAATTCTCAAGAAATTTATACCAGCACACCATCTACCAATGTGCATATTCACTCCCTCTACCTCTGCAACACAGTGACAACAATGTGTAGCATATACAGGGTGGTCTGCAACAATTTGCTAAGGCTTCTTAGACAGCACCTTCTAAACCTGCACCTCTGCCACCTATAAAGACAGTGGCAGCAGATATTTGGGACCACTAGCAAATGCAAGTTCCCTTTGTGCCACACATCACCCTGACTTGGAAATATATCATTGTTCTGTCATTGTTGCCGGAAGTCATTTCCCCAGCAGCACTGTGGATATACCTGAACCACATGAATTGTGGTAGTTCAAGGAGGCAGCTCCAACCAATGTCCATGTCCCATTTTTCAAAAAAATTAAAAACACCTTTTTATCCAGATTCCTGGAGCACCTTATCTGAATAACTTAGATGGAGTGACTGTCTATGTCTGTTGACCAGGATTCTAGGAGAGAGGCTTTTAAGTACGGTTATAGTATTTACTGTTTGCCCAAAGAACCAAAGCAGGTGAATGCCTGGTTATAATGTCTCAGCCAAAGGCATTCCTTCAACCAATGTTTCACTTCCATCATGCAACTATCTTCCTGGGTCCTGAGCTGAAATTTTAGTGTGAGTTCTACCACCTGAGTCAAGCTAATGCAATTCTATTTACATTTATTCTCATTCTGTGATCTACCATGCATTTCAGGATTGGACCAGTGAAATATGGTGCACACCTTGTAGTCCTGACTTTGCAACTAGTTAGAAGGATCGGTAGAGATCGACTCAGAAACTTCAATATATATGCTTTATAATAGCACCTTTCACGTTGTAAAATGTTCCAAGATACTTCATAGGAATAGTGTGAGATAAAGTTTGATGTCAAGCTATATCCATGGAGTATTAGCAGAGATTACCAAAAATTTGGACATAGACTGATTTTAAAGAAGTGCCTTGCATGGAGAGGTTTGGGGAGTGAACTTCAGAGCTTGGGGCCTAGGCAGCTCAAGGCAGGGCCATCAATGCTGGAGTGAATAAAATCAGGAATGCATATGAGACTATGGACTATGGAAAGATCATGGATGTCTCAAATGCTTGAAAGATGAGAACTTTAACATTGAGTCTGGGAGCCAAAGTATATCAGTAAGCACTGGGCTGTTGGTTGAATGGGATGTGTCTGGTCTGGTCAGCAAAGTTATGAGTGAACTCAGTTCTTGTAGGGTGGAATATAGGAGTTTGGTGAGAAGAGCATTGGAATATTAAGATCCAGAGGTAACTGGCTATTAGGTTATTTGCTGAATAAGACAGCACCTAACTCTGATATAGCTATGTTCGTACCCTCTATTGTGATGGATTTAGTTCTGCCAAAGGCTTTGCCTCCATTTAACCAGGTCCACTATTGCATCTGTCAGAAGGATCTTAAACATTATCTTTTGGCTTATTTTTGTTACACTCACAGAAACTGCTTCCTTGTAGCAGTTAATCCTGAAACTATGCAATATCAGCTCTCAAATTTTGCAGTGAATAAGACTTGTACAATTTTCAGCAGATGAGTTCAGGCAGGGTCAGAGTTGAGTGATGTTATGTAGATGGTGGTCTTGGTGATGGAAAGATTTGTGGTCAGAAGCTCATCTCTAATACAAACATTGATGCAGTTCGGTCTCAGTTCCAAGGAGAGGGTTGGCTGCTGAATAGAGTGTGTGGTGGAAAACAAAGACAGTACCTGGATGTAAAACATGTTGGGTGACATTTCAGGGACAGTTGGTGAATTAAACCTTTGATGGTACCAGTGTCTATGTGGAAAATTGAAATCCCTGGAGAGACACTCCAGTGAATTCACTCCTTACTCCAACTGAGTAATACACAAGTTCTAAATTAACTAGAAGTTAATGACAGTTGCAAGAGCAATTATGGAACAGGCGAGATTTAATTCATCTGGGAACACCACAGCTCCAACTTTATTTTGTGGCTCAGTCCCTATCTTTCTTTTCACCACAATCATTGTCTGGCCGATGACCTCAATGGATAAAACCCATTTTCCCTTTTGATATCATTTTTGTTCTTTGTTCTTTGTTCTTTATTCTTTCCTGGGATATGGGTGTCATTAGCAAGGACGGAATTCTGTAAGAAGCATGGGTGAGCTAGATGGGGTTTTTACATCTTGGTCACCATCACTTCGTACTTATGAATTGAATTTAAATTCCGCTAGCTGCTATGGTGGTATTTGAACTTGTGCCCTGGGCATTTGCTTGGGTCACTGCGTGACTAGTCCAGTGACATTACCACTGCATCACCAACTGGCTACACCTTCAGAAATGTCCTCAATGTCAAACTTTTATTTTCCTACTTCTACTAACAGCTACTTGTATATTTTCTTTTTGTACACCCCACCCCAACACCTGACCACCATGGGAAATATTGCCATGTTTAATGCTCCAATAAACCAATAACTGATCAGACAACACGTGACTGTAGTATCGTTACTACATCTTCTGATGCCACAAATTCCATTCTGACAGAAAAGCTCTCTCCTGTCATTATCTAGCTCCAGCACTGCCTCCATTGGAAAGTTTCTAAGCATTTGGTCTTGGTTTGTTTGTAGTGCACTCTGTGTAGTGAGTTTTTGCAGGAGCCTCCTCATTATAGTGTGTCACCATGAGGCTAGGCAATTGTGGCTCTGGAGGGTCACATAGAGTGCATATGACCTGCTTGCTAAAAATTAACAATTGGAGGAAAGAGCTTATGTATTTAATTATTGATAACCCTTGAATATTACAGGGTGTTTAGTTGGCAATGCTTCTGTAACATAATGAGATCCATTTGTTGCCAACTTGGCCCCATGGGCTGGAGTTGCAGCATGGTCTGTCTTGGCATAAAATTGCTTTCTCGTCCCTTTTGGACTTGCTGACCCATTGGCTCCCTATCCACCTTTGCCTCCATTTCAAACTTGTCATCTTGTGTTCAAACCCCTATGTGGTTTCCGTCTTCCTTATATTTATGAACTTCAAAGCATAACCCCGTCAGATATCTGCACTCATACTTACATATATCTCCACCATTTGTGGCCATGCTCACGTTTGCATCAGCTCCTGAGCTCTCGATCACCTTCTTTCTACTTTAATACACTTATTAAAATTTCAGCTAAGCTATTGGTCGCCTATTCTTCTGTGGCATGGTGTCACATTTTCTTTGGTTATACTCATGTAAATACCTTGGCACATCTTCCGATGTTAATGGTGCCCTACAAAGACCAGTTTAGGGGAAGTGGTGGAATAGTGATAATGTCACGGAGTTACTAATTCGGAGACCCAGATTAATGATCAGTGAGATGTGTTCAAATCCTACAGATAGTGAAATGCAAATTCAATAAAAGTTGTTCAAAAATAACCGTTGTGATTAGTTTGTTTACAACAATCTAGTTTACTAATATCCTTCAGGGAAGGAAACCTACCTTACTTTCCTAGTCTGTCCAACAAGTGAATCCAGACCCACTGTGATATGGTTGACTCTTAACTTCCCTCTAACATGGCCGAGAAAGCCATTCAACTGTTTCAAATCGCTGCCAAGTCAAAAGAAAGAAAGCTAAACTAAACCCAGGAAGTGATAATGGGGAACACCATATCCACTCTGCAAAGTCCTCCTTCCAATATTTGGGGGCTTGTGCCAAAATTAGGAGAGCTGTCCCACAGCAACAGCCTAACATTGTCTGTAAGGTATGATTCTGTGAGTATGATTATATCTTAGACACAACTAACACTATGGCAGGAGGTGGGGGCACAGTGGCATGCGATCAGGAGGAGTTTCCTGGGAGTCCTAAACCTAGACTCCATACCAGATGACATCAGGTCAGACATGGGCAAGGAAACCTCCTGCTGCTTAACACTTATTGTCGAACTGTTCCAATAAACCTACATCACTTTTATCTAACTTACAAAGTGGAAAATTGCCCACTGTCCTAGGACCAACCACCTTCAACTGCTTCATCAATGATCTTCCCTCCTTCATAAGGTCAGAAGTAGGGATTGTTTGCCAATGATTGCACAACTTTCAGCACCATTCACAACTCCTCAAATACTGAAGCTGTCCATGTCCAAATGAGGCAACATCTGGAGAATATCCAAGTTTGGACTGTCAAAGTGGCAAGTAACATTTGCATGACATAAGTGCCAGGCAGTGACCAGTTCCAACAACACAGAATCCAGCTATCACTCTTTCGCATTTAATAGCATTACTATCACCTGAATCTCCAACTGTAAACATCCTGACAATTATCATTGACCAGAAACTACTGGACTAGCCATACGAATGCAATGACTACAAGAGCAGGTCAGAGGCCAAGATTCCTGCAGTGAGTAACTCATCTCCTGACTCCCCAAAGTCTTTCCAATGTCTACAAGGCATAAGTCAGGACTGTGATAGAATACTCCCACTTGGCTGCATGACTACATTTCCAACAACACTCAAGTTTGCAGATGACACAAAGATAGGTAGAGGGACAGGAAGTGGAGAGGCTGCAGAAGGTCTTGGACAGGTTGGGAGGGTGGACAAAGAAGTGGTAGATGGAATATAATGTGAGTAAAGTGTGAGGTTATACATTTTGGTAGGAAGAGTAGAGGTGTAGACTATTTTTTAAACTGGGAAAGGCTTCAGAAATCTGAAGCATTGGGAGTCCTAGTTCAGGATTCTCTTAATATTAACATGTAAGTTGTGTTGGCGGTTAGCAAGGCAAATGCAATGTTAGCATTCCTTTCAAGATAGCTAGAACACAAGAGCAGAGATAGTACTGTTGAGGCTGTAAAAGGCTGTGGTCAGGCCACATTTGGAATATTGTTTGTTTTTCTTTATTCATTCATGTGATGAGGGCGTCGCTGACCAGGCAGCATTTATTGCCCATCCCTAATTGCACAGAGGGCAGTTGAGAGTCAACCACATTGCTGTGGGTCTGCAGTCACATGTCGGCCAAACCAGGTAAGGATAACAGATTCCTTCCCTAAAGGACATTAGTGAACCAGATGGGTTTTTCCGACAATGGGTTCATGGTCATCATTTAGATTCTTAATTCCAGACATTTTATTGAATTCAAATTCCATCATTTGCCATAGCAGGATTTGAACCCAGGTCCCCAGAACTTTATCTTTGTCTCTGGATTAACAGTCTAGCGATAATACCACTAGGCTGTTGCCTTCCCATATGTGAGTAGTTTTGGGCCTTAATCTAAAGATGGATGTGCTGGTATTGGAGGGGGCCCAGAGGAGGTTCACAAGAATGATTCTGGCGATGAAGGGCTGTTATATAAAGAATGGTGAACAGTCTGGGTCCGTACTCAGTGGTATGGTGGGGTGGGGAGATTGTTATTGAAACTTCCAGAAAACTGAGAAGCCTGGATAGAGTGGACATGGAGAAGATGTTTCCACTGGTAGGAGAAATTTAGGACCACGGAGCACAACTTCAGAGTGAAAGGTTGGGGGGACTTTTAACGAGAAGATGGTGAATCTGTGGAACTCATTGCTGCAGAGGACTGTGGAGGCCAAGTCATTGAGTATCTTTTAAAGTAGAGATAGATAGACATAGATTAGTAAGGGGACAAAAGGTTACAGGGAGAAGACAGGAAAATGGAGTTGAGAAATAAATCATCCATCATGCAGGTGGAGCAGACTTGATGGCTTAACTCTGCTCCTTGATCTTCTGGTCTTGTTATCTAAAAGGCTTGACACCATCCAGGACAAAGCAGCCGACTTGTTTGATATCACATCCACAAACACCACTCCCTCCACCACTAATGCTGAGTAGTAGCAGTGTGTACAATCTACAAGATACACTTCAGCAATTCACCAAGGCTCCTTAGATATCACCCACGACCACTTCCATCTAGAAGGGTAAGGGCTGCAGATACCTGGATCAAAAGTGAAAATTCCGACTGGTGGATCAGTTGAGTATAGTTTTATTTGTCAGTGTTTAATGTTTGGTACCATAACTGTTCATGCTGAGCTGAAAGTGAGCCTTTTGATTTTCTTTGCTCAGGTTTATATCTGTCAGACTGCATTCCTTGGAAACTTTGTGATTCTGCCGGATTTAGGCCACCTATACCCAGTCTTGAGAGCATATTATCCCGCGATAGTTGTGGAGTTCAGTACAAGTCTCTGATAATAAAGGCACAGTTAATTATATCATGTCTTTACTGACCCCAGGGCAGCCCAGAGAGCTTCACAGTCCATGAAGTACTTTTGAAATTAGGGTGTCAGAATGAATTGTCCATTTCAGGAAGTCACAGGTGTTGACATTGTCCCATACAGTGTATTCTTGTTTGAATGGTAATGTTGCTCTGCTCTGCACTAGGGTTTCCATCGCTACTCCACAGACAGGAGGTGGCATGTTCCCCATTTTGAGAAGATGCTGTATGACCAGGGGCAACTGGCTGTGTCCTATATAGAAGCGTATCAGGTAAGCGAAAGAGAACTCTTTCCATTCTCTGAGTTTTGCTCTCTTTGGTGAAATTTATTGGCATGAACGTGAACACCATTAATTAAGGAGACTAGAACACGTCTCCATTTTGGCAGTAACTCTGTTAAATACCCAGAGTGTATACCGTGGTGTTGGATACAGTGTAAAGCTCTCTCTACACTGTCCCCTTCAAACACTTCCGGGGCAGGGAGAGCATTGGGTTAGATACAGATTAAATCTCCCTTCGTGGTGTGGGGTGAATTTACTGAAGTACTGTGAACCTACCACCGTCAGGAATCCTCAGTCTGGATTTACATCATAACTTTAAAATGAAATGGGAATCCCTTAACCCCAAACATCATCTTCCTAGACCCTAAACTCTTGAATTCCATCTTCAGCCTCTTTGCATCTTGACTTCTCGTCGTGTGTTTAATTTCCTACTTAACATCTACACCTTTGACTGAACGTCTAGTCATGTCTAATGTCGCCTCTTCGTTTGGCTTGGAATCAATTTTGACTGATTATACCCCTGTGAGGCAAGCTGGACCAGCTTCTTTAATTAAGAAGTGTCACATAAATGCAAGTTGTCATCTAAATGTGTCCTGATAAGAATTTACAAATCTCACTCATCCCAAATGTAAGGAAGTTCTCAATAAATTTCAGTGATTAAGTATCTCAGAATAGTTCTTGTTCTTGTTTTAAAAAAATGCTTACTTTTATTGTTCCTTTTAAAATTAATGTAATGCAATTATATTTTTAATAGTGTGGGAGGCTATATTTGTTGGCTCAAATATTCAGAAGACAGCCTTTGGAGCGGTGTATGTTGGAGTTGCACATTGGGACCAAGTCGAATTTCAGTCATAGCTGACTGCAAAAATTGAATTTTCCAATGCTCAATTTCCACGTGCCTGAAATGCTGCAAAAAGAGTCCTTTAGTGTGGGACAATTCTGAAGTTGCTGACTCACTTCATGTTAGTGGTTACACAGAAAATGTTAAAGGATTGAAAACCTACTCTACCACAGATAGCTATTAAATTTAACCCTCAACTCCTCACTGATGCTGCTCCCCTCTCCCTAGACTTGACCTAAGCTTCCCTCTGATGTCTTGACTCTCCTTGACGCAACCTGACTTGGCCCTGACTTTTCCAAGACACTCATTCACTTACCTGACTCCCTCCCTCCCTCCCTCCCTCCCTCCCGCCGGCATCTACGTGCCACCCTACATCCCTTTTCCCCCCCATGAAAACTAATCGTGCACCCTTTTTCTCATACTCTGTTCAAGTGCCTTTGGGTCTTCAACAATTTACACCTCAAATATGACAGCAAAAGGGACATGTCTTGGGCTACAATGTTACTCCAGTGTTGGTGGATTTCTCCCTGGTTTCCTCTGATAGATATCCTCAGGACAGTCTAGACTAGGAAGTTTGGCTGGAAAAGTCTCACTGATAAGTGGGTAATTTTTAAAGAGGATTACTGTTGGTTGAATCTGTTTTGGCAGTAATTGGTATCTCTGGCCCAATCAATTTGTTAGAAATTTGTGATGCTGCACATTTCTTCATTAGTCACCAGAGGGAGCTAGTGACATATGAATCCCAATAATGTGACTGGACTGGGCAAACTGCAGAGCGTGAGAAACTGCTGCAACATTTGGTTCTTGCTGGTTTGATTTTTGGTTCTCAGTTGCATTTTTTTTAACAAAAGATTTTGTTTTAAATATTTCTCCAACCTTGTTTCTAAAAGGTTTCAACTGACATCCTGGACTACGCAGTTGGTGAATTGTATGGATAAGACAGTCAGGGTTTTGAATTTGTCACGTTTGGAATGGGGCATCAAGATGCTGATTATTCTGCTGACTGTGTAACCCTGTTCTCCTCCTTCTGTACTCCCAGTCAGAAACCTAAGCTGCCTTGCCTGCTCTAAGTATTGGTCAGGGCCTTGTCTTGCTTCCATTGTTCAGAGGAGGCCTGCACCATAAATTCAGGAATTCATGCCCCCCCTTCCAAGAAATGGGCTGTTTAACACTGCTGGAAATCTCCACTTTAGTGCAAAAAAATCCCTCCAATAATCTCTGTACAATCCACTCCTAATTGTCTGTCTGTTTATGCTGCTACCATCATCTCCTCTTAACAGTGTGTGTGCAGTGAACCTTTTAATGATGTACAAAAACAGAAGTTGCTGGAAAAGCTCAGCAGGTCTGGCAGCACCTGTGAAGAAAAAAATCAGAGTTAACGTTTCGGGTCCTGTGACCCTTCCACAGTTCAGAGGCCATGCAGGAAACTGTTTCTGTTAAATGGTGACTATGGTGACTGCAGTGACACAAGTGACCACATTTTTCTCACCTTTAGGGAATGATATAGCAAACCTGTCCGAATCGGTATCTGAAATGATCAATCAGATGAAATGTCACAATTTGACACGAACTGTAAATCAGTGTACCCCAGATTTCATTTCATTATGCACCTTTCTATTACACTAGGTGAAATTTAATTCCCTTCTGGAAGTGGGCTGGATGTGAGTGGGGGCTGACATCATGGAATGTGGAGAGAAGGCAGGAGATGCAATTCCCATTTCCTTCCTGATTTCCCTGGGTTTCAGTCAGTGCCTTCGAGCACAGTCTTCCACCTTAGGCTAATTGAGGCCCTTATGTAGCTACGTAATGACCAGTCAGCCCAACTCATGTCCCTGTGTTCAGGATCTCCTTCATCTTCACTGTTTCCGGGGCCTGCTGAGGTCCAATCTTTTAACATAAAGATGCACAAGTCACAAATGTCAGGGAGAGTTTCAAGGTAAACCTCTGCTGGATTGCTTGAATTGACAGACATGGGATAAGGGAAAAAGATCCATCTGTTATAATGAGAAGTGGTGTAAACTGATTTGGTAGGGGATCGGGGTACAGAGTAGAGGCACAGTAAAAGCTGAAATATAAACCATACAGACGAAGAACCGGGTCAATCTAGAAGGCAATACAAATATAGACAAGTTAAGGCACAAGGGAGCATGGCAGGGAATCTTGTGAGTAAGATAGATGAGTTGAAATATTGATTGACACATGGGAATGTGATATTATTGCTATTACAGAGACATGGTTAAGGAGGGACATGACTGACCATTCGATATTCCAGATATAGAATCTTTTGGCGAGATTGGGGGAGGGACGGTGGCATAATTGAGGAGGTGGTGCCACGATATTGGTCATGGAGTCACTGCAATAAGGAGGGATGATATCTTAGAAGGCTTCTCAAATGAGGCCGTATGGGTAGAAATTAAAAACAAATAAAAAGTAATTACTTTACTGGGGATATACTATAGACGCTCTAAACAGTCAGCAAGAAATAGAAAGACAGATACGTCAGCAAATCTCAGAAGTGTAGAGAGAGCAGGGTAATAATAGTGGAGGATTTCAACTTCTCCAATATTAATTAGGATAGACAAAAGTGTGAATGGCTTAGAGGGGTGGAATTTTTAAATGTCTCCGGGAGACTTTTTAAGTCAGTATGCCAAAAGTCCTACAAGAGCGGGCACAGTGCTTATTTTAAGAAATGAAACTGACAAATGATAAGTATGGCAGTGGGGGAGCATCTTGGTGATAGTGACCATAATTCAGTAAAAGTGAAGGTAATTCTGGATAAGGACAAAGTTGGGTAGAAATAAAGGATCTGAACTCTGGGAAGGTGGATTTTCACAATATAAGACAGGACCTGAACAAAGTAGACTGGGAGCAGCTATTTGCAGGAAAATCTCCATCAGACAGTGGGAGACATTAGGAAGGATAATTGCAAGAGTGCAGGGCCAACATTTTCCTGTAAAAGTTAAGGACGGCACCAAAAAGTTCAGCGAACCATGGATGTCAAGGGATGTACAGGATTGTGGACAAGGAGTGATAAAGGAAGCTTATGGTAGACACCAAAGGCTGAAAACAGCAGGATGGTCTTGAGAATAGAAAGTGTAGGGGGTTCGATATAAAGAAATTAGGATATGTTGGCAGTTAACAGTTGGAAAAATCCAAAAGCATTTTATAACTGTATTCGGGGCAAGAGAATAACCAGGGAAAGAGTCGGCCTATTAGAAACCAAAGTGGCAATGTGTGGGGAGCTGGACGACATAGCTGAGATTTTAAGTGATTATTTTGCATCTGTATTTATGGTAGAGGAGGCTGATGTTTGTATAAAAATCAGGGAGGGGAACTGTGGTATACATGAGCAACTTTGTATTGAGAGAAAGCACATATTAATGGTTTTAGCAGGTATGAAAGTGGATAAATCGCCAGGACTAGGCGAGACGTGGGAGTCAAGGGAGGAGGTTGCTGGGGCTGTGACATTAATTTTCAAATCCAGTCTAGCCACTGGAGGGTGCCAGAGGACTGGAGTGAAATAACTTCACAACGGCTGACATCCCATCACCAAGTCACACATTATTCACATGTACATAGTGCATCACACTGACCCAGCTAGCTCAGACTGGATCCTAGAGTGAACAGAACCCTTGACGCTCTGTTTATATCTGTCAGTGAGGATTCCCTGATTAGACCAGATTAACTGCCCAATCAGGGAACTGTTATTTTATGAGATCCACCTGGTTGACCTCGTTCAATCACCACATTGAGGGCAGCTAATATTGTACCATTATTCAAGAAGGATGGTGGAGATAAACTAGGAAACTACAGATCAGTGAGTCTAACATCAGTGGTAGGGAAACTATTGGAAAACATTCTGAGGGACAGATTTAGGGGAAGCTTGGGGAGGCGTTTAGAGAGGCAAGATTAACCAAGGATTGTCAGCAGGGCTTTGTGAAGGGGGAGATCATGTCTAACAATTTTGAATTTTCAAGGAGGTGATGAGGTATATAAATGAGGGTAGTGCACTTGATATAGTTTAAATGGACTTCAGTAAAGCCTTTGATAAGATTTCAGATGGCAGACTGGTTAAGAAGCTAACAGCCCATTGGATCCAGGGCGATTTGGCAAATTGGACCCAGCATTGGCATTGTGGTAAGAAGCAGCG